CGAGTGAAGGGCGGGGTGTAAATCCAATCTCCTCCTCCTCCTCCTATACTGTGTTTGTTGGCCCTCCAGAGCCACAAATCAGACCCTGGAAGGCTTCTTGGAGAACCAGTTTGGCGTAGTGGTTAGGAGCGCGGACTCTAATCTGGGAGAACCGGGTTTGATCCCCCACGCCTCCACATGCAGCTGCTGGTGTGACCATGGGTCAGTCATAAATTCTCTCAGAGCTGTTTTCTCAAGGGCAGTTCTCGAGAGAGCTCTCAGCCCCACCTACCTCACAGGGTGTCTGTTGGGGGAAGGGGAAGGGATTGTAGGCCGTTCTGAAGGGCAGGGTAGTATTAAATCCAGCCTCTTCTCTTCTCTTGATTACCGCAAGACTATTGCAGGAAAGATTATTTTGCATGTGATAAATAGTTTTAAATAGCTTGTAAATTGCACCGGGAGCATTTGAGGCCAAAATGCTCAGGGCTACAGAGTTTTTTTAGTAAATAAACCGTGCAATCCTGTGCAGAGCTACTCCAGCCTAAAGCCATTGAAAACAAAGGGCTTAGATTGAAACAAGTCTGCATAAGATTACACTGAAAATCCTCCCTGTTCCTTAGGGCCCTTTGTGACTGTAATTCAGACCCCCAGTCTCCGAGGGTCTTTTCCTGTTTCAAAGTTCTGTGACTCAACATGTACCTTGGACCCTAAAAACCAGCCAGTCTGGTGTAGGTCGGGGCCTTGACCCTGGAGAAGGAAGGGTAGAGAGCCAGTTTGGTGTCGTGGTTAAGTGCGCGGACTCTAATCTGGGAGCACCGGGTTTGACTCCCCACTCCTCTACTTGCACCTGGCTGGATGACCTTGGGCAAGCCGTAGTTCTGATAAGAGCTGTTCTTGAAAAAGAGCAGTTTCTGTCAAGAGCTCTCTCAGCCCCACCGACCTCACAGGCAGTGTTCCCTCTAACCTGAGTTAGCGTGAGCTGGCTCGCAGGTTTTTTGCCTCCAGCTCACACATTTTTGTCTCCGCTCAGGAAGGAGGGCTCCAGAGCCAACTAATTTATGCAGCAGCCAAATCGCTCGCTCACAACTTTAATGCCAGTAGCCCACAGATTCAAATTTTTGCTCACAGGACTCCATGCTTAGAGGGAACATTGCTCACAGGGTGTCTGTTGTGGGGAGGGGAAGGGAAAGGAGCTTGTAAGCTGCTCTGAGACACCTTTGGGTAGTGAAGGGCGGGTATAAATCCAATCTCCTCCTCCTCTTACTTCGGACTCCAAAATGGGTCTCTGAGGCTGCTTTTTAAGCCCCAATAAGAGGGAAAGATCCACGCAGTGTGGGGATTTTGTATTTTCCCCTTCTCATGGAAAAAATAGAACCTCCAGGTTCAGGCGCAGTGTACCCCTGAATACCAATCGCCGGGGGCAGCAGCTACCTCCACCCCTGTCCTTCCAGACAGGCTGCATGGCTGATGCAACTGTCTGCACTTGTGCTTAGTCAAAGGAAGAGACAGTATTCAAATCAGAAAACCTATCCTTCCTTTTAAGTAAATCAGGCCGGTGAGGGGGCGGGGAGTGCTCCGCCGAGAGCAATGCGTGCAAGCGAGCCGGAAAGGGGCCCCTGCATGGAGGGGGGGTGTCCGTGGGCCGGCCTGGAAATACTTTCATTCATGGTTAGAAGAAAAGAGGGGGCAGGAATGAAATGAGCAACAAGGGCGGGTGGGGGGGTCTTTTAAAGCAGCTGGAATTGGAAGGCATGACCCAGCTCTCTGGTGGGCCACTCAGAACAGTAGCCTGAAGACATCATAGTTGTTTTTTATCCACTCCCCCCCCTCTTTGGCTCATCCCTCTTCCAAGTCCTCCTTACAACAACCCTGCGAGGTAGGGTAGGGTTTAGGGCAGGGGTGGCCAAACTTGCTTAAGGAAAGAGCCACACAGAATAAACTGTCAGATGTTTCGGAAGGAAGGAAGGAAGGAAGGAAGGAAGGAAGGAAGGAAGGAAGGAAGGAAGGAAGGAAAAGAGAAAAAAGGTAGAAAGAAAGCAAATAGATGTGTGTGTGGGGGGGGGATTTAAAGAGTCAAATGTCTTCTCCAAGCTGGCCAGTGCAGGGGTGGGGGGCTTTGAGAATGCATTTAAAGTTAAAGTTGCTTTCTTTCTCTGCTCCCCCCCCCACCTCAGGTTTATTGAGGGAGGGGAACACTGGCTGGGGAAGGGAAGACCGTTCGGGGAGGCACGCCTCCCCTTCGCTTCCCCAGCCGCCCTGCCGGGAGCCACACACTATATGCGGAAGAGCATGTGGCTCCCGAGTCGCAGTCTGGCCACCCCTGGTTTAGAGGTTGTGACTGGACCAAGGAGGCCACTTTATTCTGGCCGAGCAGGGACCCAAACCTCGATCTTCTCCAGTTCAGGGACATCGAGTGACATGGGCTGTTAGGGATGCCAACTCCAGGTCAGGGCATTCC